TTAATCCTCAACAAATAAATAAAAAAAAAGATGAATAAGTGCATTCAGTGACACAGTTATGTATTATCCATAATGAACATATCTGACGCCTTACAATCTCTAGTTGCATCTAAAAGCTATTCTCAAACTCATAATCTTTCTGAGTTTGCAGTTCAGATGCATTGTTCCAGATGCAGTTCAGCTGATTAAAAAAGTTGGTTCATAGCTTCTCCTATGATGCCATAACCTCCAAGAGTTATCAGCACTTATATTTGACAACCTAGGAGCCCACTCACTCATATTACTAATTTGCATCTGTAGAGTTATCTGGGTTAGAAAACACCCCTACTATTAGCTTATGCTAATATGGAGTGCTGATATCTAGGTTAAGCCAATAGACCTGAGGGGATGTTAATGGAAAGGAAAGGAAAGAGTGACAAGGAGTGGAGAACAGTATTGCCTTTATCCAGCTCAGATGCAGCCAAAAAAAGTACATCAAACCATTGTCTTATATGATCCCAAGGATATCTTTATACTCCGCTGTTCCCTTATTTAAGCACAGTAATGCCAGCTAATTAAAGACAGTTTATAGATAATTTTAGATATGAATTGAAATTGAAACATGTTCTCTTGTGCCCCAGAAGTAATATAAATCTCTTGAAGCTCTGGGCTAGGAAATATTATTCTATAGATGACGCAGCAGAAGGTAGTGTTTTATGTTTTTTTAATAAATCTCTGAAGTTAAGAAATACTGGACCAAATTTATACTCATTCTAAAGTGTGAATCTGACTTTTTTATCTCATTTACCCTATTTACCCTCAGGTTGCAGTGACATAAACACACTCAGGGTGTAAATCAGAGAAGATTTAAACCTATTACTCTTTTGAGCTATCAACTTTTGGCTTAAAAGAATTTTACTCACTTTGGAAAGATTTAATTCTATATTCCCAAACAGTTAAATTGCCATCCAGTCTAACACAGTTTTATTGGAATTATCACAGAAATTAATTCTATTAATTTTTTTTCTTAATTCCATTACCTGTGGCAATTTAATTGTAACAGACTTTAAGCAGTACTTTAAGATGAAAATTCTTGTGATTAATTGTTTCTAGAACAACCCTTGGCATAATAAATATGTAAACATTGGATATTTCTTTAGTATGACTGCTTTTATTAACATTACAAAAATAATAGGATAAATTAAAGATCAGTTTAAACATAGATTAATTGAAAACAAGCAAGTTGTAATGCTTTAATTTGGAAAAGGCAGTGCAATTAAAACCAGACAGCTGTTGTGGAAACCTTAAGGTTCAATAGGAATAGCTATAAATCATGATTTATAGTGAGAGCATGCAGTTACTTGAAATGGAACAAGCCTGAATTAAACTCGTTCCAAAAGTGCACTTTATAAGTTCTTTATCTAGCTTTATATGATCTGCAAAATGTCACTTAAATAGTGACCAGGGATACAATTTGTACTATCCATGAGAAAACAGAAACAAAGTTAAAGCTCAAGAGAGTGTAAAGCACGTTGTATGTTCCAGTCATCCATTTGTCCTCACAATATCTCTATAAAGTCCCTTTTCACTGCACTTATTTTTTTTCCACTAGCATTGGACATTTAATTATATTTCTGTGGTTTTGAACTTCATGGGATCATACATCTAGGAGCAACTTCGTAGTACAAACTGGTATAAAAGGGAACAGCGTTATTTCAGAGTTCATCTTCAGAGTGAGAATGTATTTGAAGGTATAGAGAAATGTTTGTGTGGGGGAAAGCACTTCATTTATCAATACAGATTTACATTGTCAGCCACTCTTCTTGATGAGAGGGCTGAGTAGCAAACAGCTCTCAGGTAACATGACTGCAACTATGAATATATTAATGATCCACATGAACAAATTATATAAAGGGACAAATCATAGGGAAAGATCATCAATATCTGACCTTGCACCACAGCAAATGAATGTTAAATTATCAGTGTATGGGACAAACTTGGGCAATAACCTCTTAGCCTTGTCATGAAACTGTAGAAGCAGAACGTCTGACAGATTTTTTACCTCCTGATGCTTTCAATGTCCTGTTGGATGGTAGCGTATCTTCATTTCTAGAAGGCCCAAGATATGAACTCTTCAACTCCTCCTTTTTCTACCACTTTGCTGGAGTAGAAAAGATATTCCACAATGTCACAGAGATTGTTTTCTTTTATGTATGCCAGAAATAATGACAACCAGCAAAGGAGACTGAGATTGGTACCTGTAACTTTTTCAGTTGCTGGTGGCTTCACAACAGGTAAGCTATTATTCAAAAGGTGAACTTACACAAGTAAGAAAAGATCCATTTTAGTAGAAATTATTGTTTAAGTCAAAACCACACTGCATTAATTTTCAGTGTCAGTTGTCTGTGTCAAAATCTGATTGAACAAGGCTATTGTGGGATTTATTTTGATGCTGACAGTCATGCAGTATTACCACTGGTGCTACAGACAGGAGCACAAGGCAGATGGGTGCTGTCATTTTCAGAGCCATTAGTATTCCAGGAGCTGAGAAAGCACAGAAAATAACCCAAAATATGTAAACACATAAAAATGATTAAAATTCAGGAAATTATTTAAACAAACAAGCAAACAAGCAACAGAAATAAAAACAGAGCTCAAATATTGAGCAGCATGCTCAATTCCCTAATCTGTTTTCATAGCCTTTTAGGCCTGTAAATCCACAGTAGGAGACACATAGACACACATTTCAAAATTTAGTTACACTTGGTTAGAACTGTAGTATTCCAGAAAATGGATAAACCTACTGCATAAAAAATGTTTCAATTTTTATCCTCATTAGTTGAGTTGTAAAATGATAAGCATGGAAAGATGTTGTGTAACTGCTAGACAATTTCAGGAAATTGAAGCATTCTGATTATGGTTAGGAAAAGTAAATTGTTGATTGCTCAGATGAAGATTTGAGTCTTCATTGAGAAATGATTATCAGATCCATGGATGAAGGGAACGTGTGAGTGAAAGTATGGGTTTAGGCAAGACAAATGGCTCATTTTATTTCACTTTTGTATAAAGCCAAAATTCAAATCATGCTCTCTGTGAGTCTGGGCTATGCATTCGGAGTTTCTTGCAGCATGTTGTGGTGGCTAACTGTCAAACACCTACCTGACTGTTTGCTCACTTCCCCTCCTCAGCAGGAGAGGGGAGAAAAGAGAAAGAATGAAAGGGAGAAAGCTCATGGATCAGGATAAAGGCAGGGAGATTTCTTACCATTTATGTCATGAGCAAAACAGACTCAACTTGGAAATATCAATGTAATCTATTGCTAATTAAAATATATATTTTTTAATTTAGGTAGTGGGAAATGAAAAGACAGATGTCAAAGCAACAACTTCCCCCCCAACCCCACCCTGTTCTTCCTATCCCATGCTCGACATCATTCTTCCATTTCTAACTCTTCTAACCCTGCTCCAAGTGGTGCAGGAGTTTACAGTCACTACATGGCAGTTTCTTTGCTCCTCTGTATTGCTCCTTCCTCCTCACACTCCTCTGCTCCTGCACGGACCCTCCACATGCTGCAGCGGATATCTGTTCTTCCATGAAGCTCATTCTCCTCTGACTTCAGTTTTCTCTCTGTTGTTTTACACTTCTTTTTTCCTCCCTCTCTGTCTGGCATTTTATGAATTTTTTAAAATATGTTTTCATGGAGGTGTCATCAGGTTGGCTGATGTGCTCAGTTGTGTCCTATTGTGGGTCCATTGGAGCTGATTGCATCTGGCACAGGGCAGCCCCTGGCCTCCTCCCACAGAGGCCCCCCTACAGTCCCCCTGGCTACCCCCTTGCCAAGAGCTGGAAAATTTTGTAAGATTTTAATCATGTGGGAAACCCAGCTCTTTTCCAATTTTTTTGTTTCTCTCTCTTATACATTACAAGAGACCACTTGCTCTGAATTGACTGAAAGTTGAAACTGCAAAATCATGATGTCATTGGTTAAAAATTAAATTACATGGTCCAGAATACAGCTGTGCCACTAAGTCTTTGCTTTCAGAAAACATAATTTCTTTTATTCTTTAGCACTGCTAATTGAAATTTTCATCTTCCCTCTCACCACCAAAGTTATTCTGAAATCTAGCACTGATTAAGAAGAAAGAGTCTATCACCTCTGGAAAACTTAACTTTAAAGCTTCTAATTTTCAATAACTGAGCTGCAATTAACCAATTACTTTTATTGTTTAGTGCTCATACTTTAACAGCTTTTGAAAACGCTGTTAAAAAACATCAGTTTTTTATGATCACACAGTTGTAAGACAATGCTATTTGCAGCTTGGTGAGTATTTAATATTTGGTGACTGAGGGATAGATCATTCTTGAAAGCTTTTTGGTAGTATTTTGTATTTCCTGCCATTAGCAGTGAAGTTGTAGTTCTAGTCACATCCATTTTGTCACAGAAGTCTTTTCTTCTAGGTCACCTGTGTAGCAGCTATTAGAAAAAAAAATCTTGGATTTCAGTCAGTGTGCTAAGTATTTTGTCTAAAACAGCTCCAATAGTGCTGAACTATTTAAAAAAAATTCAGCAAAGACATATTCAACCACTGACAAATGAAAAAATACTTCACACAGGGGGCATAGAGGAAAACAAAGTGCAGAAAAGAAGCAATCAGAGGGGAAAGCTAATACAGGAATGAAATAAGAAGAGTACTTTATATGCTGGGTATGATAAAGGCTGGACAAAGCAAATTAAATAACTTCACTTGAGTAGCCTGCTCTCTAAAGACATACAAAGCTGTCAACAAAAGAGAAAATGTCACCAAATGTCAGCAGCAGAACAACCACAAAATAAATCAGAACATTTTCTTTGAGATAAAAGCTGCATAAACTCCATGAAACTTTCCCAATCAAGTTATAAAAGGAGAAAAAACCCTTAGGGAGAAAATGTCAATGCTAATAGAAAGTCAAACAGAAAACAACCCTATTGGGACAGAATGAAAAATAAATTCCTAATAAGTAACATCGAACTACAGGCTGACCTGAATGAATGACCTTTCACAGGAGCTTCCAAATCTAGAGGAAAAAAAATTCTGAATTAGAACATAAGGCAGTAAATTGTGTCATGAAAAAGTAGATGTTCTGTGGTAGTGTGTCAGTGGAAGTTATGTGCTTAGTACTTTTCTAAGTCTTTTTCTTTGCACTTTACACTTTGCATCTTTCCCGCAGTTCAATGATTTAGTTCTTCTTTGGCAATGAAGAATAAGTTCAGTCCCTTAATACAGCAGGATACCCAGAGAGCATGAAATTTGTTTTCATTTTCTTCTGCCTAAAGAATATTTTCACCCTCATATGTTTTTTTCAGACACTCCCCTTGTGTGTTCATAGATAAAGTGTCCTCACTACCATCTTCTGACAGTTTTGTCCCTTGTACGAAATCAAGACCTTTTTAGTACAAACTATGAAACATTCATAATGTATCAGCCAATTGATAGTTTTGTGTTTTATATATCCTATATATATATACTGTATACAACAGAGGGAAGGAAAAAAGATGTAGGTAAAGGGGAATTTTGGTAGAAGAGGTGTACTATCTTCAAACTAATGTAAGATTTTGTTTCTATCAAAAAGGAAAGAAACCAGCTCAAATAGATGATATTAGGTTTAATACTACTGCCACAGAAAGAATGGTAAGATCACGACCCTCTAGGCTTTGTGTCTGAGTTTAGTAGCCTGTTTGCAGCATCATCATCAACATCTAAACAATATATTATATGCCTCTACTGGCTCTACAGATGCCAATGTAGGTTCTAGAGGATTTAAGAAAGAACAAATAAAGGAGAAGGGGTAAGAAAAAGAACCAAGACCTTTGCATCAGCATAATGCTTGAAGTAGGAAATATCTGTATTGTCCTGCCAGTGATTAGAGCAGGAGTAATAAACCTAAAATTTCATGACTGGTTGTACTGGATTTGGCTGAAATGGAGTTAATTTTCTTCATCGTAGCCCATATGGAGCTGAGTTTTAAATTTGTGACTAAAATGGACACCAGTGTTTCAGTTATTACTAAACAATGCATACTGTGATATTCCATGCACTTGAAAGAGTGCATGTCTCCTCCTCTTTCCCTTGCTGAACTACTGTATGCTGCAAAAGAAGGGCTCCACTAGGCCCTCTGATGCCCAGTGTGGTAGTACAAAAAGGCACTAATGGAATGGCAGATATTTAAACAAAACAACTGACAAAACTTCATATATATCTACACCTAGAGGAAATCCTTTAAAAGAAAAGACACTTCAGGAAAGAATATCTGAGAAGGAAAGAAACCTAAGTTATAAGTGAGGTTCTTTGTTTAAGGAGTACTTTAGTGCCTGGTAAAAAACCTGCATTTCTTTATGGATGCTGAGATGCCTAAATCCAGCAGAAGGTTTACACTTGCATAGAAAGTAGTTGCTACTGAGTAGTGTCCTGATTTAGATACCTCACTTAAGAGATGTAAGACCCTTTCTCCCTCATCACTTCCTCCTTATCAGCCTGACACTGGGTTTTCTGATTCCTGTTCCCAGGGTTGAGACAGACTGGGTGAGACTGTGAACCCCATAAAATGAAAAAATACTTGAACCCAAGTTACTACCGCCTCTCAACCTCCCTCTCACGAAGGTTCATGTGTGATCATATTGATGATCAACCGTGACATCAGAACAGAGTGAACAACTGGCCTTCCCATCATTTCCCCTACCTTTGACTGCTGAAGGATCCAATTCTCAAAGACTTATGCTCCATGAGTATAATCCCAATGAACTCAAGAGTAGAATTTATGCTTTTGTTTACTCAGTATATGACCCCTTCTGGCTTTTCATCCATGGAAAAATGCAGCCAAATAAAAGCATTCAGAATCACAGAGGTCCTGCTCTCTCTGTCAGTTTTCCATAGTGTTTTCCTAATCCAGCTCTCTCATTTTTGTTTTATTTTCATTGAAATTACTGGGCAATTTAAGGGGTGCTTTTAAGTCCTGTTATTCATTGTGATATTAGTGTGGACATTCAGACTCAGATCAACAAAGTACACACCCAGGGATATAGAAAGTTTATGAACTCTGAGGATCTCATTCACTAGAAGGGAGGAATGTTAGCTGGTGCTACAGTAATTAATGGTTAAATTACCCTTGGGTAGTAGGTAGTAGGTAGCATAACTTTACAATCTGGTAGCTTTAAATTTCACAACTAATTGTAGCAGTGGGAGTTAGAATGCAGGTTGAAGACATAATGAAATTACCACAGGGAGGAACAGACTAATGAAGTGAAGTCCAGTAAAAGTTATGGCTACATTACTGTCAACTTGAAAATCTGTAAATAACAACTTTGAAAACCGTTGAGGGCACTAGACAATGGATTTTATGCGATATAAGTATGAAATGTGGATTGGGAGGAATAATTGGGTTTGCTATATTGTCAAGTATGTACTTGGAAAAAAAATCACTTGGTCATCATTTAATCTCCTTTGCACACCTTTTTCATCTTATTTGCATTTTTAATGCAAAACCCAACAGAATATATCTTCAATCATACTGAATTGGTTTGTGTCAAGTATTTGGTGCATATACAACTTCGTAAGTCTTTTAATTCTTCAGCAAAAAACTTCCAGGAAAGCATAATAATCTCTTTATGATTTTGGTACTTGGAATTTCAAAGTCAAACTTTCACAGTTTTATTAAGAATTCTGAAATCTGGATTTATTGAATAGTAATTTCAAACAACTTTTTAATGAAGTAGACTGTTTTAAATCAAATTATCTTCAGTTAATAAAATACAGAGGAGTGAAACCAGCGCTTTAGAAAATGTGGCTGAAAACCGATCTCTATAGGGGTCTTTTCTTCAAGACATTATAATATGAATTTATAGACTTATTATTTATTTTTCCAAGTTCCTTTTCTGAGAAAATGTCATATGAAGATTAGGTATGATGTTTTACATGCTGTAGAAGCTTGAAAGAATGACATTTCACCTTCCAAAGGAGGCCCCAGCCTATACTTGTTACATAAGCTTAAAAGCATTTGATGGGACTCTACCTCTATAACATCATCTTCCTAGGTGCTGTGGGATTTTTTATGGATTATCACTTGTATCAGCTACATCAGCTATATCAGTTTCACCTGTATCAACAATATTAGTTTCTGCTTTACCCAGACCTTTGTATTGCTTAGCCTGTGAATTGCGTCAATAGTGGAAATTCCCTTAGTTTACTGGTCAGCCTATGCCATCAAATCAGTCCTTCTAATCCCAATTCTTTCCTAATATCCTGTTCTTTTTGCTGTTAGTGAAGCCTGTTAATTCTTGTCTGGTATGTCACTCTAATGCAGAAATAAATTATTTTTCCTTTGTTTCACAGCATTTATCATAATTAAAACCTATCCCATGTCCCCATTCAGTAATGTAAGAAAAAATTATTTTCTCATTTTTCACAGCCTTTAACATAATTGAAACCTATCCTACTGTGAGAGATTGAAAGGGTTAGTTGATTAAACATTGTTAAAATCACTGAAAGACTTTTGTCGACTGTAGCAAACTACGAAGAGAAGCAACTGTTCACCACAGCCCACCCCTTCCTGAATATGCTGTAGGGGTAGATATAATTTCAGAAGAGTTTGTAACAGAAAGTTAGGAACTCGATTTTCATTGAGGGCTTTCTGCCTAATTGATAAGTCTTTCTCAAAGGCAGTTTCAATGTTTTCCCCCTGCCATGCATAGCAGGAGAAGTTCTCAACCTCTCTCTGATATGTGAGAGAGGAGAGAGAGCCCTAACAGACATGCATAGAGGCCTTGGGAAGGTGGGGCAGAAACAGAGAGGATAAAAGGGGCCCTGAGGGGGCAGGAACTCGCCTTTTGCCCCGAAGGCCTGATGCGCCACATTGTATAAAAGTGGTCCTTGCACCTGAAATAAACCATTTTTTTTAATCCGTCCACTGCCTTGGCATTCTTGGGAAGAATACCTGTATATGTTTACCTTACAATGCCTACTAATTTTGACTATGAGGGGAACTTGAGATAAGATAAAGGTGGTGCTATTGTCCATTTATCCCAGGAGAAGAATGTATCCATGACTGTGAGAGGCTGGAATGCTAATGGCTCAAAAAATCAGGGTGCAAGCTGACAATGTGCAAAGTAACCACTCAGGTGCTGCAGGCATGCACAACCAACACCTCAGGCTACAAGCTGGGTGTTGAACAAGGTAAAGAGAGAGGTAAATCCCTCAAGGTGAACCAATGTTTCTTTGTCCTTACACAAATGACTCAGCTGTGATAACTTCCTTCTGTAGAAGCACTGAAACATTCATGGGTGGCCTGGAGATATCTCTTCTGTTGGGCCACAATGGGTGTCATAGGTTATAAAATCCAAGGAGGAATTTTTCTTCCCCTGCCCCAATGTAAGAAAGATGGAGTTTGAATGGGGAGGGGGGAAATTAGCTTTACAAAAGACCTGGGTGGCAAAACTGCATTCCTGAGTGATGGCCCATGTGAGACTGGAGTGAGGGAGGAGGAGTTTTGCTCTGTTGCTGCCCTCCTCACAAAGGGGAGAACAGTTTGGGTTTCTCTCTCAACGGGGTCTGTGTGTGCATTTGGAAAAAAAACCTTGAGGCCGGTTTTTCTTGCACTTCACCTGGTCATTCCTGACCACTCGCCTCTGCTTGCTTGCACACTACCCTTGCCTCCAGCCCAAACCTACTGCGATTTCATCGGAGAGTTTTGTGCTCATTGGGAGAAAGGGAGGAGCCTTGAAACACTGTTAGCCGAGGACAACAGTGAGTTCCGTAGAGGTGGACTGCTTTTCTTTTCCCCTTCTTCCATTGGGAGAGGGTCCCCATTTTTTCGGCTTCTCCTGTGATCCGAGACCTCCCGCGTGGTGACCGCCAGAGCCCAGCAGTGCCCCCTGCAGGCCACCACAGAGCACTGCAGGCTCTGCACATCCAGTGATCCAACAGTACCCCCACAACTGTGATTAGAGTCGCGTCAGAGGACAGAGAAGTATTCAGACTGTGTCTTTTTTTTGATGGGGACTTTTGGGTACAGGACTATTGTCTATTTGTTTTTGTGTGCTGTTACTGTCTTTGCCAACATATATACATGTTTTAATAAAGGATTGTTATTTCTCTCTTTTTCC